GAGTTAATAAAGCATTTACTAACATACATAGTAACCATTAATATATGCCTGAATAAAAAGATATATGAACGTTGATTTCAATAGTTTATTAATCATTTACTAACTCATTATGAATTATTCTAAAAACCCTCAACTACTCTTAAATACAAATGGTTTGTAAATAATGCAATACTTAATTTAGTAATGAAAAATAACTCATTAGCAAAGCATGAAAGTACAATTATTAAGCACATTATAAATATTTTTGTAAGTCAAGAATAGAGCATATGTAGCTGAAGTTAAAAACTGCTTACTAAGGCTTACTAATGTAGAGTTAAAGCTTAACAGATAATGAATTTACCATTTGATAATGCTTAATAAATGATTTATAGTGTGTAGTTATTATAAAGTGTTACCACTAACTTTAACTAATGGAAGCCTTTTAAAATGTGAACAGAAAAAAAAGTTTTTTTTTAAAGATTTTTCAAACCTTTGGCTACATTTTATCTTTTATTTATTCATTCTTTTCACAAAAGTCACTTTAATCATCAGTAGTCGCCACAGAGGAATGAACCACCAACTTATCCAGCATATGTTTTACATAGCGGATTCCCTTCCAGCTGCATAACTTTTATATCTTCTGCAATTTTCTTTAAAAAAAATTCTTGCGAACTTACATTTTTTGTTGTTGAATTTAATAACTTTTCTAGCCTTCTCAACTTACATCAATCAATTCAGCTGAAAGCTGATTGGCGTATTAAACTAAGTTCAACCAACATTAATTTTTTTTTTTTTTTTTTTTTTTGGCATTTTGTGATAAATGTTTTGCAGTAGAGACTCCTGACACCTTTAGGTTTGAATGCTGTAAGTTTGTTTACGAACTGCCAGTTTCACACCAAATCCATTTAGTTCATTCCATTTCTTTTTTTTTTTTTCTGTCTGCCATGCCCCATTTTCTCATGATCAACATTCTTGAATTCAGTCTCAACAGCTTTTCAAGCGTTGTTAGCGGTTTTTGGTGGTATTTCAAGTCCTGTTTTTTATTTATTTATAATTTTACAGTGACTGTTTTGCAAAGGCATTTTGAAGTGCAGCTGTGACCGTCATGTGTTTGAGTTTGGCATTTGATATTGTGCCTCTAGCCGGGAGATGCCTTGTTTGGGCATTTTTTATTCGTCCAGTTGAATTTATTCTCTTGGACTGGTATATCAGAATGTGTGCAGTTCATCACACTAGACTGTGCTATTGACACAGGCTCCACTGTGTCTGTAGAATGTACAATTACATGTGTTTTATAGTTTTTCTGGTTTTGTTTATAAATACTTGTTATGTTTATGCTTTGTACACTCTTAAACATGCTGGGTTCCACACAACTCCTTCATATACTCCCAACACACTTTGATTGTTAACTTGTTTTTTTATTTATTTATTATTTTATTTTACAAATTTAAGTGGATAGAACATAAAACAATTAACTTGTCTCAAAAAATAGGAATTGTGTTGTTTCAACTCATTATAAATAAGTTTGAAGTGTGAGACATCTTCACTGTAAAAATGCTGGATTCCACATAAATCCTTCATGTTGTCCCAACACCAATCGATTAAGTTAACTTAATGGTTTTTACAATTTTAAGTGGATTGAACATAACCAGTTAAGTTGACCTCCCAAAAATAATTGAGCAGTTTGAACAAAAAGCAAAAATGAAAAATTCAGTGTTGATAGTTAATATAGTAAATAAAAAACAAAATGCTTTAACATTATATCCATACATTACCAATCCGAACTGCTGCTTATTGGTGATTTAACAAAAATATATATTACAATTGTTTTCAAATCACGATTCACGATTTTATCATGAGTCTTTCAAATGTTTGTGGTTTTATTAACATAAAATGCTTTGTTCTAACGACTATCGAAAAGATATATGGCTTAAAGGGGCTAATAATTTTGAGCTTAAAATGGTTCTTAAAAAAATAAAAACTGATTTTATTCTTGCCGAAATAAAACAAATAAGACTTTTTCTAAAAGAAAAAAATATTATCAGACATACTGTGAAAATGTCCTTGCCCTGTTAAACATCATTTGGGAAATATTTTTAAAAGAAAACAAAGTCAAAGGGGGGCTAATAATTCTGACTTCAACTGTATATATAAACTATGCAGCCCTAGCTCGTACTATAACCTGGGGTAAACAAATAACCCTGGGTATTCAAGAAAAAACACTGTGCATTCCCAAAACCCTGGGTTAACGTTCTTATTCGCATATTTGTGGTCACTGTTGCAGTTAAGTCTGTTTATTTGGTAACACTTTGGGGATTTCCTGGGATATTTCTTCTTCATGGATATTTGGAGTTACTGTGTGAGAGCGCCCTCTGGCCTTACTGCAGATCCCAGAGCCGTTTACTTAAAAATGTATGCAGTTTCACCGATTGTTCACAGTTTACCAGAAGAATTTAGACTAAGTATTTTGGGGTAGGAAAAAGGTGGATTGGATCTTGACCTATTTGTCTCTGTTTTGCAGTTGCACTGGGGCGAAACCAGCCCCTGAAGAGAGAGAAGCCTAAATGGAAGAGCGACTACCCAATGACGGATGGGCAACTGCGCAGCAAGCGTGATGAATTCTGGGACACGGCACCGGCTTTTGAAGGCCGCAAGGAAATCTGGGATGCACTTAAAGCGGCTGCCCAGGCCTTTGAGAGCAATGACCACGAACTTGCTCAAGCCATCATTGATGGAGCCAGCATAACATTACCACACGGTAAGAGACACACATTACAGATGCTGCTAGACATGTTTTGATCCAAACCAAACACTTGTCTTGAGAGATTGCACTGTTAGTATGACCAAATAAGGTGTAAGGGCAGGTCAGAACGTAGGGTTAGAAGTCATGGTTTTGTTTTAAGTATGGCAAAAATAATACTTCATTTTTGGATGAACTTTCTCTACAAGGATAATTAAATAGAGAAATGTGCAATAATGTTAAAAAATGGTTTTATTTTGTTGATGTACACTATCTGACAAAAGTCGTGGTGCTATCTAAGTTTTAGGAATAACATATTCATTCATTCATTCATTTTCTTGTCGGCTTAGTCCCTTTATTAATCTGGGGTCGCCACAGCGGAATGAACCGCCAACTTATCCAGGAAGTTTTTTACGCAGCGGATGCCCTTCCAGCCGCAACCCATCTCTGGGAAACATCTACACACACATTCATACACACACTCATACACTATGGACAATTTAGCCACGCGAATGCAGGGAGATTATGCAAACTCCACACAGAAAAGCCAACTGAGCCGAGGATCGAACCTGCGACCCAGCGACCTTCTTGCTGTGAGGCGAACGTGCTACCCACTGCGCCACTTATATAACTTATTAATAAAGTCATCTGGATTGGCAAAGAAAGCCTTCTTGCAGGACTCCTAGAGTTCATCAAGATTCTTTGGATTCATCTATGCCTCCTTCATCTTACCCCAGACATGCTAAATAATGTTTATGTCTGGTAACTGGGCTGGCCAATCTTTGACCGTCTTTGCTTTCAGGAACTTTGATCTGAAGGCTGAAGAATTTGCCCTCTCCTTTGGTTTGTAATGTAATTGGCAGCACAGATGTCTTGATACCCCCATACTGAATGTAACCCCAAACCATGACTTTTCCTTCACCAAACTTGACTGATTTCTCTAAGCATCTTGGGTCCATGTGGGTTCCAATAGGTCTTCTGCAGTGTTTGTGCTGCTTGGGATCCCGTTCAACACATGATTTATCGGAAAAATGTACCTTCTGCCACTTTTCCAAATGATTAACTAGAAGTCAAGTTATTATTTGTTGCTATTACATCTGGGATTGACAACAAGACTTTTGTCAGGTAGTGTATTTAGGTGCACAAAAAAAACAAAAAAAAAAAAACATATGCAGTTTGTAATTAAATATATTGAACGTTTTTAAATGTTCCGTTCAGTAAACTATTACGTTAATAATCAAACCGTAATGTGCAGTAATGATTGGTTACCAATAAATATATATGTAATATAACACTCTTTTGGTTATCATTATTGGGTGGATGGCAAATAAAGGAAATACATTTATCTTTATCATTTCCTTCACCAAATACGGCCAAGATCCACTTTTCAGTAATTACACAATAAAACTGGCATATCACACATGTTGACTGATCAGATTTGAATAGATGTCATGGATCCTTTTCACATTTACAGGCATCTCATCAGTGGAAGTTATCAGAGTTGTGTAAACTTTGAGCACAGTGAATTGGAGAGTACCACAAATTGTATTGTATTCTTATTTGCCCAAATAATAAAAGAGAAACTCCACGATAGCATTTTTATGACTTCCAAAAAAAAAAGGGAAAACAATTGTGTAAGTCACATGTCAGACAGAAAAATAGAACAGCATCAAATTTTGCTCCATGTCCACATTTTCAATTCTTTCTGAAAAAACTCCACACTAAAACGACTGAAAATGCATTCGTTCATGAACTGCACACATAACTTCAATGATTTTAGCTGTGTCATATTAGCCTGGTGTTTATATACTTTCCATCCCACCCAAAATCTTTGCTCTATGTGGGGTGTGTAACGCCAAAGAAAATAGAATACACAAGACATGTCACTCATAGTTTTTATTGGGGAAAAGTGTAACGGTAAATATGGCGAATGAAACCCAGCCTACTAGTACAAGAGCCAATCATCATTTGCTTTATACTGACGATTGTCCGGGGGAGAAGCTCAGATCAGACATGTGCTTATACAGTTTATGTAGTCAACAAACGCAGTGGAATCTGCACTGTTCAAGTGACTCAATTCCAAATTAAAAAAAAAATAATTCTCTCCCATGTGGCACAGATTGAATATTGTCCATGTACGTGTAAGCAGGAACAAATCACATGGATTCCGATTTACTCAAATCAGATTCAGGCCTTGTTCGTAAGTGTAAATTTATCGGATCTGGTTTCTGTGTGGATTTTGCATGTTCTCCCTGCGTTCGCATGGGTTTTCTCCGGTTACTCCGGTTTCCCACAAAGTCCAAAGACATGCAGAACAGGTGAATTGGGTAAGCTAAATTGTCCTTAGTGTATGAGTGTGAATGAGTGTGTATGGATGTTTCCCAAAGATGGGTTGCAGCTTGAAGGACATCCACTGCGTAAAACATTCTGGATAAGTTGGCGATTCATTCAGCTTTGGCGACTCCAGATTAATAAAGGGACTAAGCCAAAAAGAAAATGAATGAATGAATCAGATCTGTGTTCTCGTGTCTGCAGTGTAAGCAGGTAGATCGGATTTTCATCTGTCAATGCGAGTTGCGCATCATTAAAAACCGTAGCGAATGACATCAAGTTTGACACTTTCTTTTCAGAACCGACTTCAGCAGAGTCCCAAACCTTAAATCTCATACACGAGGACTTAAACAGCTTTCATATTGTCATATAGCACAGGTATTTAAGCATGTTAACGAGAACGAGGAAGCGCAATGTCAGCCACGTAACCAATATACAACATAAAACTAGTGCACACATCAAGTGCATAAATCATGCCATGGACATTACATTAAGATGCCTAAAGGTTTAAAAAGCCTATTTATGTCAAAAGAAGATAATGAGAACCTTTTTGTCATAAACTTTAGTAAAACAGCTTGTCAAAAGCTGCGAAAAGATAACATACAGGAATAGAGAAAAGAGCACTCTTTAATTATCAGCTGTTAGTCAGCACCCACTCTTTTTTTTTCTTCTTGGTCATTGCGCCTTTTCCAAGTGCTGTGTGAATGGAGACGATCGGAAAAGATTCACTTTTAAGAGATGATGTAAGCAGGTCATCAAAAAAGTCGGATACAGTTACAAAATTGAAATTGACCATCAAGATCTGCAGTGTAGATGCAGCCTTAGTGAATACTTACTTCACAGACAAAAGAAATATATCCAAATAAAGCTTGAAAAACCTCTAACTCTATTTTTAAATGAACCCACTACCATAGAAAAACAAAAGTTGTCTGGTTTTGTAATCTGCATGAACCAACCCGAGTTAAAGTCCGTCCTGTCAACCGCATATCACATAACAGCAGCAACTACTCAAACGACCACAATCTTGTAAACAAGGAGTCTCTTTTATTTCTGGAGGAGATTCGCCATAAAGACCAAGTTGTGGATTACTTCAAAGAGCAATGCTATCCGTGTGTAGGACGGCCGTAAATGAGGTTGATGTGATGATCTCCTTCCTTACGAATGCGCACCTGAAAAAAATGTGATTTTAGTTTGATTCGAACTTTTAGAAACTAAACTTATGAGACAGTTGTTTAATTTTATAGGTGATTCCAAATATGTAATGTAATTACAAGCTTGATGTTTTAAAGAATTTGATGGTTCCCCATTCAGGCAGAATTCCCAAGCATGCTGCCCTAGACGAGTTTCAAAAAGATTGCCACCAAGTAAAATGACTTGCCGTAAAAGGACTTTGGTAACGCTACTGTCGTCTGCTTTCGCCACTTAACAACAACTTCCAGTAAACATTCCGTGTTCTTTGAAGAGAAGCAATATGGAACATGTAAAAAACAGACATAAATCTTTAATAAAGCTGTTAAAACTGTCAGCACTTGCTTTACGATGTCTTCCACCATGTTAGCTGAATTGGTTACATGACTAAAATGAAAAGCCTCTATTTTCACAATCCACACTACAACACGAAAATGGTGCTTTTAAATTCATCCACTTTGGACAGAGCTTTAAAAAAAAAAGATACATTTTTGTTTCTTAAAAATGCTGTCTCAGTGTGGACGGAGGCTAAAACGGAGAGAAAAATTAGCATTTTTAAACCAAAGGTATTAGTGTGGCCATGACCTTACTGTTGCACCCATATTACAAACACCTCTCATAAGCGGTAATTTGTTTTTTTTCGTATTTTAATGAAGAAAGATGAAATAATACAAAGTATAGCTTTATAAATGTACAGTGCTTCCCACACAGACTTTACTTGGGTGGGCCGCCCAGATATATTTCGTGGCAGATTTTTAATTTTTTTCTTATTATTATCATCCTTTTACACTTTTTTTTTGTTTCCGCCCAATATCAGCAAACATCTGTAATCGATTTAATAGTTGAAAATCTTCTTTCGTTTTCATGTTTCATTCTGTGCGTGAGAAACTGTCAGCACTCCCACAGACAGTCTCGAGTGCTCTGCAGTCTTACAGATGTGCTCCAATCAATTTTTTTCCCTACCGCAAGATACTTAGTGTAAATTTGTTTAGCCGTGGTTTCAAAATCTCCTAAAATGTCAGAGATTCGGTTTTCTCTTTCTAAAGCTGTCATTTGTTAAATGCGTTTTTGCATTACCTTTTAAGGGTGCTTTCACACTAGCACTTTTGGCCCGCACCCGGGTTTGTTTGACGTCATAGTGTGGTACGTTTAGCTAGTGTGAACGTGTCTTCTGAACTCAGGCGCACACGTAAACCGCACCCAAGTCCACCTGAATGAGGTGGTCTGGGGCACAGTTCTTGAAAACTCTGGTACGGTTCACTTCTGATGTGAATGCAATCGTACCAAATAACAGAGATGAACTGCTTACTGTACAACAAACTATTATCATAACGTTCATTCGTGTGTGTGTGTCTGTGTGTTACGTTTCGTACCTTGGTGACACACAGGACTGAGCCAGGGCAAACACAGTGATACACAGTGATGTCTGCTTGTCTCCTCCAAAAACAGCTTCTGCAGACACTGTGTGATGTTCTGAATGTTTATAATATTTTTGCGGC